AAAAACCCCAAATTAAGGTATATATATATACGCCTACGGGTAGGAAAAGTTTTCTCCCCCCCCCTCTATTATTATATTTTTATATATGTAAAATAATAATTCGTATTCTTATAATTATAATTATTCGTATTAAATTATACTTTTATATATAAATACCTAATTTTTCGTATATTAATTAGGTTTGGTAATAATAAATATAGCATAAATATAGTTATATTAAATTATATATATTTATTCGTTTATTCGCAATTATATGCGTTTCCTTTTATTATTTAGTAATTACCTAACTTTTACTATTTTTAATAAATTCCTATTTTATAATATAATTACGCTGCTTAGTTACTAATAAATATTTTTGGGAAATTAAGCTTAAATATTTTAGCTAGACGGTTTATTTTTATAAATTCGACCTTTTATTAAAAGCTAAAATTAGGGCTATTAGCTATAAGCTTCCGATTTATATAAAGCAAAATAGTAGTTTTATAAATATATTTATTTGCTTTAATTTAGATAATTCGGATAATTTAAATACGCCTTTTACTTTATTTATACGCGCGGCTGCAAATTATATAATATATTTTCTTATGCTTTAAAACGGCATTAAACGTAATTTTAGGTAATCGATAAATGCGTTATATTTTATAAATTTAAATATACGGAATTTTTAATAATTTTACTAAAATATCGTTAAAGCAAAAATAATTAATAACCGTATAAATCCAGCTAAAAAATAAATAATATAATTTAAAATCCTTATAACCCTTTATTTATATTCGGTTAATTATAATATCGTAAATATTAGCGGCCTTTTATATAAATCGGATAACAAAATTATTAAGCATAATATTATTATTAGAACGCTTATGCTATTCGGTAAAATCTTTAGTAATACTTAAAATTATATCGCGTATATGTTATTTTTAGCGTTTATAAGCCCTAAAATTTCTTCGAAGCTATAATATATTATATATTTAACCGGTAATAATAATTCTCCTAATATAAACGAATTTTTTTTTAATATTAATAAGCTTATATAAATTAAAAAGATTAAATATATTTTTCGCCTAAATTAAAAAACGAAAAAAACGGATAATATTAAAATTTATTTATTTATAAAAAAAGAATTATTACCGTCCGAGCCCGCCGATAATAATTTGCCGGACCCTTTTTCGCTTTTAATTAAAAAAAATAAAAATAAAGAAGCTTTTTATATCTTTTAATAAAGCCAAAATTATACGAATTCGCTAAAAAGCAGTTAAACGGCGATTTTATATATTATTATTTAATACGGGCTTAATTTTTAATTTACCTTTTAAAAATAGTAATTACGGGATTTCGTTTATTATTAAATCCGAAATAAATAAAAACGTTAAAATTAAAAGTAAATCGCTTAATTCTTTTTAATAATTTTTAAATATTCGCTTAGCGATAAATTATTTTAATAGCCTTTATATAAGGATATAAAATAAGGCCGCTTAACGGGATTAGTTAGTTAACCTCCTTTATTTATTTAATAATATATTTAAAAATAAGGAACTTAATAACTTATCCGATAAATTCTTAAGCCTGGCGGATATAGTATTATATTATCGTGCGGTAGCTATAAATAAAAAAAATAAATTCGTTTTCGTTTATACGCAATTATTTATTAATAATATTCGCTTTTCGTTTATTTAATTTATTAGTTGCATTTATACGCAATTATTTCCAGTCGTTTAAATTTATTATATTTTGCTATTATTATTTTTTATATTTATAAATTTAATATAATATAAAAACGCATAAAAAAAAGAATACCTTTTATTTATTTATATTTAAATTCGTATATTTACTTTTATATATTATTATTTGTTGCACGGATGTTAATATAGCATCGTATAGTGCATAAAATTAGCTTTATAACGCATATTATATCGTTATAATAGCTATAAAACCTATCGAAATATCGTTAAATAACGATATATAGGAAATCAGTAGAATTTACCCTATACTAACCTATAATTAGTATAACACCATTTATAGCCATTATTTATAATGCTATATAATTAATAAGTTATTATAGTTAATTATTATGGCTATTATAGCTATTAAAACCTATTGGAATCTAGTGGAACGTTCTATTAGATTAAGCCCTATTAAATATAGTTAGTATACCTGGCTATAATAGTCCTAAGGTTATAGGGTAACCTATACCGTAGAAATTTATAAAATCTTATAGTTTCTTCGATTATAAATCAATTTTATTACTAATTAACTTAATTATAAATTTAATTTATTAGTAATATATTTTAAAATATTTTTATTAGTTGATTTTATAGGTATAAAAGGTAGTTATTTCTTTATAGTTAGTTATTTTTTCCTTAAGCTTTAATAAAATCAATTATATAGCCCTATAATTACTTTTTATAGCCTAATTTTACGAATTATATAAACGCTTCCCTGTGCCTAAGTTTATAATTTACTAATTATATTTTAGAATAGGTTATAAGCCCGGTCCGGTATAATATCGATTATATTAGGAACCGGACTTTATATCGAAAATTATAGCCGCTTTTTTAAACGAATTAATTTAACGTAAACTCTAGAATTCCGTTATAATAGCCGATTTTTTATAGGCCTATATATAAGCCTATATAAGCCGTAACTATATCGAAAATTATAATTAAATGGCTAATTATAGTAATTTTACCCGTTATAGCTATATAACGGCTATAAAATTACTTATAACTAATCCCTATTATAATAGCCGATTTATTATAACACCCTATAATACCTGCTATATTATATTATAGCACCTAAATCCTATTATACACTTTATCGATAAAATAAAAGAATTAATTTCTTTTATTTTTATTTTTCTTAACGATTCCTTTACCGTTTTTAACGATAATTATACCGTTATAATAGCAAAAATTCGGCAAAATAAATAACTTTATCCGTATTATTGCCGGATACCAAATACTAGAAAAACAAAAACTCTCCGGATCCGGAAATTAAAATACGTAGAAATCTATGTTGCAGTTATATTTTAAATTGCTAAGAATCGATCGGTTTTTTAAAATTACCGATATATATAACGGTATAACCGATATTTAGAAAGCCTAGGCATTATTTTTAATTCGTTAGAATTTAATAACAAAACCGTTAAATTTAATATTCGATAAAATAAATCTATATAAAGCCTTATCGACTTTATAATTAGCCTATTAAGGCACCGGACCCATATTACGTTAATAATTATATTTCGAATTTTATATTATTAAATTCGAGAATTATAATTCGTTAAACGAATTTATATCTATTTTTAAAGGATATATTTTAAAGCTTTTAAGCGTTAGGGTTAAAATCGATAATATCGATTAAAAAACGATTTTTATTGCAGCCTTCTAATCAGCTTACCCTATATAGGCTAACCGTTAACGCAGTGCTTTACGATTTATAAATCCATTTACCCTTAAAGGGTTAATTACGGATATTTTAGATAAAAACCGACGGGATCCGGATACGGCTATAGGAAATTCTTATTATACGGATAATAAAAAATCCCGGTTCCCCCGATCTAATCAAAATTAACGGGGAACCCAAAGCGGAAATAGGAAGAATTCGAATAAATCGAATAAAGGGAAAAAACCGAATAATTCGAATAAATCCAATAATTCGAATAATTCGAATAAGTCGAATTCTACCACAAACCAGAAATCTAAAAAATAGGGAAATTTACCCCGTAACGAAGATTCGGACGAAAACGAATCGTTTTATACTTTTTCGAATATTTCGAATAATTCGAAAATTTCGAAAAAGAAATTAACCACCTTTCCTAAGGACTAGTAGTTATACAATATAGGCTTTTTAAAGCATATATCGAATAATAAGCACTTATTCGATAATTTTACTATAAAATCGGATTTTTTACCGATTATTATAAATGGTGGAAAAGTATTTCTAAAAGGAATTAGAAATATTACGCTTTTTTTTAAAATTAACCGGGAAATACGTAAAATAACGTTATTAAACGTGCTTTACGTATTAGAATTTCCGCTAAATATTATATCCGGCTAATTGCATTACTAAAAAGGCGGTATTATAAGCGGGAATAAATTATATAATTTTAAAAATAGGCCTTTTGCTACGTTAAATTAAAAAAAACGTAAATTTTTCCTATATTTAGCTAATAAATTAAAGCCTAATATAGCATATTTAGCCATAAATCCACTAAAAGTAATAGAAAAAGCCCGTATAATCGGTTTAAATTACCCGGAACCGAATTCGGATACGAAATCTAATAAAACCACGGATTTCGAGGAAATCGAATTAATTTCTAATTATTCGAATTTCTTTATAGCTACGGAAAAATAATATAAACGATTTAGCCACTTTAACTACGATATTTTAGCTAAAATAGCTAAAATAATTACGGGGATTCTTAAAAAAAAATTAAAAA